GTCGGGCGTGACTCGCCGCCGGGCTTGAAGGAGGCAGCGCCTGGAGGTGAGGGGAGCGCGGCTGGGCTGGCGGAGGTGAGCGCGGCGGGGGATCCCTCCTGGGGGGAGGGAGTTCCTCCTCGAGGGGCGAGCCTCGCCGTGAGGAGCGGGGTCGGGGTCGGGGTCGCGCTGTCCCGGTGTCTGCGGCTCCAGCTCGGTCATTGCGGGGGGGGAGGGGGGGGTCTCGCACGGTGCTCCTGCCTCTCAGGGTGCCTTCCCTGCTCTCTTCGCCCCCTCTTCCCGCCGTCCCCTGCCGCCTCACCGCGTGCCCTCCCTGCCGGCCCCCGGGGAGCTGCCGGAGCTTGGTGGGTGGCAGGAGCGGTTTAAAAGGCACTTGTGAACGTGGTGCTCGGCTCGGCGCCTCACCGAGACAGCGGGCTGGTCTGCGCCTCCTCCTTAACGCGCTCCTTAAAGCTCAGGGGTTGTCCGGACAGCAAACAGCACCCACGCTGCCGGTAACTGTAAGATATACGCGAAACACCCGGGCTAGCTTGCAAAAGAAAAAATGGAAGGGGAAACCAGAGGAAGGTTGAGGGATCAGTTATTTCCTCGTCTAGTGACTGCAACCCGTTTGACGTTAAGCTACCGGCTGTCAGTTTAGGTCAGAGCGACTGTCCAAGAAGTCTTGTAATAACAAGAAATAACCGGTTTGTGTCTTGTTACTAGCTTCAACGCAAAGATCTTCAAAAACTCGATTGAACTATTCCCCATCACCACCCCAGTTTTCTGGCAAAGAATAATGTGGCTTTCCCTATGTCAGTATTTTACAACTTCTGGTCTGCGAACTGTGGGAACATTTTGAACTCCTTAGAAGGGATCAGTGAAAGCAACCAGGGAAAGCCAGCCAAAGAAGTAAGCAGGCTTAAATTTGATGTGCTGGTGCCCATACAGCTATTGCAAAACTTTTAATTGTCTGAACGTTGAAATACGGTTGAAAGCTGTTTTCAGGATGCTTCAAAATTTCAGATAACCCAATGGCTGTTGCAGCAGGCATTTAGAGATAGTCCAGTAGTAAGAAGAGGGAAAAAAAAAAATTACTGCTATTATTTTTGCTGATGATTCAGCAGAATGTACATTCATAATTCTTCATATCTATTACAGTAGCAGTTGCACATCACTGGTTTGGATGGGGGTGACTGACAGCCTTAACAAGGATCTGGCCACTGGTATTTTTTGGGCCGAAATTTTCACAAAGGAATACTAAAATTTTCAGACAGACATTTAAAATATCTTCTACTAAATATGCAATAGAATGTATTGTGGGTTAACAGGAGTCTTGATTTATATTACAGAATTTTCATGAGATGCTACTTTACTAGCTGCTGTAGAAATGGAAAAACTAAGATAATTACCTGTGCTGTTTCAGAAGCAAGCACGTGTAGGTGACTTGCACTGCATTAACTCTGTGAGGATCAACTCTCGTATTGTTCTTCCTCAAGTGGTAGTAATCATGCTTTGAAATACTTGGTTTATGGTAATTCCAGGTCTTCTCAGGACATGGTAGGTGTTCTGGTTCTGCATTTAGCAGTATTCCTGAAGTGTTTTATTAACTGTCCTGCAGTGTACTGTGAAACATCTCTGAAATGGAATGGGGAAAGAGTATAGGGAGAAAATGGAGTTTCACCCATGCAAAGCTATTCTTGGTAGCTGATAAAGCATATTCATTTGAGGTAGCATTTATTCCCTTGTATAAACTTCAGGACCTTAAACTCAGCAGTCTCATGCTAAAAGCTTCACTACGCTTAAAGGTATATTTGTGGGGGGAGCTGTGGCCATATTGGGTTATAACCAGAATCACATTTCATTGAAGGAAAGCTCTGAAGTCCATTAAGAAAAAAACCTGCTACTACTTCCAGTCTTGGTTCTAAGTATATCTGTCCAGAGCTGGTTTTTGTTTGTTTGTTTGTTTTTTTATTGTACTGTACAAACTCTGTGTAGGGTTACAGTTTGCGTAAAGGCTGACAGAGTTTAAAAAAAGTGAAGATGGCTGAGCATTGTCCTGGAGCAAAGGCTTTAGGAAATGGCGAAGTCTTTAACCTCTGCCACAAACTGAGCCCAGTTTTCTGAGCAGAGTGCTAACTGAAGTGCTATGTCAGGTTCAGCCATCATATCTTAAGACTTGGAGCACGAAACAACCATCAGGTATTGCCTTTTGTTTGGAGTTTCTAGTCCATTACTGTGGTTCAAATTGTATCTTTAGCATATGATTCTTCATAGGTATAGTAGTCTGTCCAAGGATGCAGTGTTTTTAGAATTTAAATATTCCAAAACCATGTGGGAACTTGGTTATTATTTAACATGACACTTAAATCATATGATACTGAGGCACAGATGTAGCACATGGCTGCAGTACCATTGTTCTTTTGCTAATCACTTGAAAAAGAAGGAACCAAACGTGTTTATCTGCTTTGACTAGTTTTATAATATAGACAGACCATTATTGTCTTAAACTGCTATATATTTAGACTGTACCAGTAGCCTCTGTAAACATGATCAAGACTTTTGTGCAGCCTAAAGAACCGCAGAGTCCTTTGAACTCCCCTGCCTCTCCTGGTTTGGCTGGTCATCTGCTTGTCAATCCTGTTGGGGAGCTGCAAAGGAACCCATGACTCTGGAGCCTGGTGATTTTTCTGTGTCCTGAGGAAGTTTTCCCCTGGAGAAAACAAGCCTCCAACTGATGAGGGTTTTCTGTTCCATGTTTTCTCTTGTGTTAGCCCTCCCCTATGCAGGCTGTCCTAGCCATGATGGTTTGCTCAGCTTGAGCTTTGGTTATGACAGTTGTTACCAAGCTAGAAGTCAGTGTGGTAGTAGCAGCTACAAGTAGTGTTTTAAACTTGACAGGATTGGCCTGCAACCAGAAATAATTAGGCCCAAACTATGTCTGATTTAATATGCAGCTGTTAAGGCTGAATATATCATTGTTCCCCATTTGAATAAACAGGGACTGAAGTTGCATTATGGTAACTTGCCTAGCAACCTCTTAAAGGTATCCAGACAGTTTCTCAAATTGTTGTCCTATATGGTAATGTCAGATCTTTAGCCGGACAGTGGATCTCAAAGAATAATGAAATTACAATGACATTGTATCTGTGTATATACATTAGATATCAGTTTGATGATTAAATCAGAGTGTGCAAAATTCCTAGAAAGAGCTTCAGCCATTCATTCTTCCTGCACTAACATTAGCACATGGGGAGAAATCCAGAAAGCCTTTCATTCTTGTCTACTAATTATGCCATCTTCTCTCCAACACTGAAATGGGTTGGTTTAATTCATAACTGAAGGTTCAGTAGCTTTCATGGATTCCCTAATTTCTTCATAGTGGTCACTTTTTTTCTGAGTAGCTTTGCACAGAGGTCTTTTGGCATCTCATGCGTTTCCCCATGATCCAGCGTTTTACTTCCTTCTGAATCTGATGAACTGCTGACTGCTATTTTTTCTTCCATTTTATTGCTGATACAATTTTTCCATAAGAACTGGATTTCTAAAGCAGGTGTGTTTCTGTCTGATCATTTGGTAGATCAATAACCTTTAGCACAAGAAGACCATGCTGAAGCTAAAATTCTCAAGCTCAAATTAGCCTAATGATTTCCCAGTTAAGTTTAATGAATTGAACACCTTCCTTATGCTGATGTGTTTCCTTCCCTAGATCTGTTAGCCAGCAGAATGTTTTCCTGCTAGGTAGTATTTCTTGATAGTCCTTCTTGATAGTGTTTCTTAATATGGCTACAAGACCTGCCATTGCTATTATTTTAGAGCAAGTTATCTATAGCTCTTTGCTTTTCAGAAGTATAAACAGCAGCAAAGTCCAGGTCTTGTAGTTATTTTCCATGCGCCCAAGTAATGAGAAAGCTATAGACAAACAGACAGTGTCAGGAGTTTCCATGGGTTTTACAAGTCAGCTGTACTGGTAAGATTTATATTTTATTAATAAGAGTAATATATATATATGAATAACTGGCCTATGTGGGAACTTGGACTACTATTCTCAAAGACTTGCATTAACTATTTCTTTTGTTTTGTGCAGTAACAAGGTGGGAAGACCTTCCATGTGACAAAAAAATAGTGTGATTGCCATCTTGGAGCTTTTTGACAATGATTTTGTATTTTCACTACTTTGGTGAAGTCTCTTTTACTCCAACCTTCACTAAAGAATTCTTACCAGTTTTGCACAGGCGTTGGATCAAGTTTTGGTGCTCTGCTGTGACTGTTTTCTACCATTTTGTGTGTTCAATTTTGTTTGCATTCTTGTGGTGGTGTAGGTTGGTTTGGTTTGGGTTTTTTTTATTCACTAATTAATAGATTTTAACCTTTTAATTGAAAACCTGAGATTCTGACACTCAGACTGGGCTAGAGCTAAGGTCAAATTGTTCATTTTCATTTATTTTATGGAAATAGGGTTCTGAGACAGGGCTGGGACTTTGGAGAATGTAGCAGAAAATCTCTCATAACTAAAGCATAGACAGATTTTCCAATCCAAATCACAGATTGCAGTGTCTGTCATTGGAAACATCCTTGTTGGAGTTCAGTCTGGTAGGGCCAGATCAAATTAAAGATTGAGCTGATTAGACATTACAAAACTTCAATTTTGGGCACCTGGTTTTCATGGAGCAGAATTTAAAACTCTATATACCATTCAGGAGAAAACTTGGGTTGCTACTCAGAGGTGCCCACAGGCAGCTGCCTTTTCCTGTTCTCACGGAGCTCTGCTGAGCTCAGGCGTGTCTGAAGAGTCATGTCAGGAACAAAACCACAGATCTTTCATAGATACAGGCATCTGTAATATCTTCTCTAAATACTGGTTTTGCTTTTGCTGTCATAATTTTATGGCATAACATAGTCATTTCCCAGACAAAGCTAGACCTGAGTTCAATTACCACTTGAGCATGTTGTGATTTAACCCTGCATCTTGTGCTTTACTAGGATAGTGTCATAGCTACAAAGCTTTGACTTAACACTGTTTTCTAAGTCCTCCCTATTTCTTTCAAGGTTTACTGTATCTTCTGTCTCTGGTCCATTTCATTGTTCAATTTGAA